ATGCTGGCCACCAGCCAAGATGGGGCCCGAGGTGGCATGGTGGCCGTGCACCTCTTCCAGCAGCTCCTCCTGTCCTCTTGGATGTCCTGCCCCATTGGAGACCAGACTGACTGTCTCTTAGAGAATCCATGGGCTTGTAGGCTGCTCTGTTTACATGGCCTCAGAAACACTGTAACACTGTGGCACACTGCCACAGAGAGGAGGCATAGCCAGCGTGGCAGGGCAGGGCTCTGTTTCTCTTGCATTAGACCTCTGCGAGGTGTCGGGGAAGTCACTTCACTGTCATGCTGTTGCCTTTCCATGTGCTACCTGTGCTTCTATAGATTCAGCATTTCGTTCTTCTTCTTTTTTTTTTTTTTTTTTTGTCTTTTTGAAATAGGGTCTCGCTATGCAATTCAGGCTGGCCTTGGGTTCATTTTGTAGCCCAGGCTGGTCTCGAACTTGCAACAATCCTCTTGCCTCAGCCTCCTGAGTGCTGGAATTATAGGCATGTGCCACCATGCCCAGCTCCAAAGACACTTTGAAATGAATAAGTAATAATTAAAATATGCAATGAATCAATGAAAAAGTCACTCATCTATGCATTCTCTGACCCCCTCTGGTGGTGTGTGCACTTAGTGATGTAGTACAAGTTTGTCAAAATAAGAAATGACCTGGGAGCATGGCTCTGGATGAAGGCTGCACAGACCCCCTCTCCAATAAAGAGTGTTTCATTAGATGACTTGGGCTGAACACAGTAAGTATCCCAGGCATGTTTAAAGCATGGTGGGCCATTTGATAGCTGGAATGGTAAATGCATTTTCTACTTCCAGGATTTTCTTTTCATGATGGGTTTTTCAGGACACAGAGTAAGTTGAAGAGAGCAGTTGAGATTTATCATGAGAAATTAGAATTGACTTACAGATGATGTAGGTTGATGAGTCCTAAAATCTGCAGGAGGGCAGATACCAGCTGTCAGTGTGAATGCTGCAGCCTTAGACTCAAAGCCTGGGAAGAGCCCATGTTTCCACTCAAGACTGAAGGCACTCACATTCCAGAAGTGCAAATTCTCTTTTCAGTTGTTTTTTTGGAGATAGGGTCTTGGTATGTAGCCCACACTGGCCTTGAACGATATTGCAGTCCTCCTGCCTTGGCCTCCTGAGTACACAAGTGGTCAGCACTTGCATTCCCAGCCTGCATCTCCAGAGGCCTCTGTGGGGTTTACCTAAGGCTCCTTGGAGAGAGCCAGGAGGGGTAGAAGCACCCTGAAGGGGACCAGGTCCTCTGTGTAGCTGGTCCATGTGCAGAATGTTCCCCAGAGGGCCTTGGAGGGCCCGTGTCCAGGCCTGACCCTCCCCAGTTTTAATCAGTTCTGCCTTCTGAGCAGCGGTTCACTCTCAGCAAGGTGAGGGTGTTGCTGAGTCACTTGCAGTGAGAGCACAGGGGAAGATATTTTTATTTAGATGTTAGACTAATGCAGAAAAAAGAATAAGATAATGACTTCATACCACCAAAATCAGCCATCATGTCAAAATGTGATGTTTCTGCTCATTTTTTCCCTCACAAAATAAAACCTTACAGATAAAAGTGAATCTGCATATCCCCTTCCTCCCAGGTTCCATGTTCAATTTGGTGCCTTCCTTTCCCTCTAGAATGCTCTGATGAACATTTCCCAATGTGCTTTTTAAAAATGAAAAAATTATTGTGCCAGGATCTGGTGCTTGCCAGCTGAGCCTCTGCCACTGGGTGTCACCCAAACCCACTTCCTAGGGTGATCATCTTTCCCGTCTCTCTCACCCTACATGAGGAGGGCCAGGTAGGAGGGTGGCAGGCGAGGACACTGAGCCCCGAGGGCACTGTGGTTCTCTGTGCCTCTGGGAGGTGCTCCCCAAGCCAGGTCAACACCGGGTAGAGGAGGGCAGCTGATGGAGGAGCATGCTGCTCCTGGTCACGGAAAGCCTGGCCCAGGCTGTCTCAACCTTGGATGAATGGTTGGGGAGCGCCCTGGTCAGAGGCAGAAGCCTGCAAGAAAAATGAGACCCTGAGATAGGGGGCCAGCTGAGGCCATGAGGTGAGACACTAGCTAGATAATGCAGGAATCCCCATATATTTCCACATGGCTTCCTTGAATGTTGATGATGACTAGGAGTTTTTGTCACAGTGTGAAATCAACATGACGTCCTGAGACCAGCAAAGCACTGACTTTTACTGTTTTTTCCACTGTCATCTCTTTCCATTCTCTGACCCAAGCCAGGTGCGCTCTCTTGGCTTTTTTTTTCCTTCTTGATCCCTCTGATCAGTGTGTTTTCTTGTTTGTTCTCAGTTGCACAGTTTGTGTGTGTGTGTGTGTGTGTGTGTGTGTGTGTGGTGGAAAAACCACAGGACTTCAGAACTGTTACGGTTAAACAGGAGCCCATTTCCAGCTTTTGTGAGCCCCTTCTCTCAGTTACCTGCTTTATTCTGTTCCCTTAGACTCTGAAATGTTGTTTTCTCAGAATGCCTCCGTGAGGCCAGAGCATGTGCTTTTTCTCAAGAGTTTCACTTCCTTTCCTGAACCGGCATGGGGTTTGTTTGCAGCACATTTTCAGTACAGATGGTTGATGCTTCTCCAGGTTTCCTGCCAGCAGCTCCGTGCATTCCCAGGCTGTCTATGTCACCAGCATCCCGGGTGTGCTTGCGGGCGCTGCCTGTGAGACTGGAGATGTCTCTCAGGTATGTTTCACACCATGGCTTGTTTTGTTTTTGTTTTTGACCTTGGGCTTTGAGCCTAGTGGTGCTCTAACCACTGAGTTAATGCTAGGTCCCTCCTAATTTATTTTGCAGTGCGGTGCTAGGTCCTTTGCATCTTACTATCCCTGCACACTTTGAGATGGGGTCTTGCTACATTGCCTAGGGTGGGCTCAAATTTGCCATGGAGTGTAGCCTGTGCCACTATGCTTTTTTTGTTTTAGATTTTGAGATAGGGTGTTACTGAGATGTCCGGGTGTGACTGGAACTTCTCATTCTCCTGCCTCAGCCTCCTTCAGCGCTAGGATTACAGGTGTGCACCATCCTCACACCGTTGCTTTTTAGTGCTTGGCAGTTTTGACAGATTTCCTCCTTAACAATCCAGAATGTCTGTGTTATGGTGAGTTTAAGCAAAAGTTGGGTAGTATGCAGTCTCCAGGGTGCCATTATGAAGGGTCAGCCCCCAAGGGAACTATGCTGGCCACTTTATTCAGTGGGCACCTTCTCTGGGTCCCTGGTCACTACAGTCTTTTCCTTATGGCTCAGCAGTCCTGGCTGTTTCCTTCCTTAGGGGCTTTGCCCGCTGATCCCCCCCCCAGTCTGAACCCCCAGGTCTCGGTGGTCACTGAGGCTTCCCAGGCACCCATGTACAGATGGGGGTAATAGCAGATGTTCACTGGGCTCTCTCAGTACCATGTCCAATGGACTCCACATTCGTCCTCGTGTCACTGGGACCTAGAACTGTTGTTACCTTGCGTTGCATTGAGTGCTACAGTGCGCCCTCAGCCCCATGGTGTGCAGCGGTGGGGCCTGGCCAGAAGGGGTGTGGCACTGGAGCATGACCTGGAAGGGTACCTGCTCATCTCAGGCTCCTCCCCATCTGCTCTGCTGTGCTCCGCAGCTGGCATGCTGTGTGCGGCTTACTCTGCCAGGCCCTTCCCAGTGTTTCTGCCTCAGAGCCAGCCAGTATCGGCTGAGCCCACTGCAACTGTGACCTCAGATAAACCTCTCCTTCTTTAAGTTGCAAGTATTAGATATTTTGTGCAAGTAGTAGATAAGCAGCTAATGTAAATCACTCTTTTTGTAGCTGGGACAAAATCCATGACATACTTATTCCAACCAAGGAGGAAATAGTTACAGAGGTTTCAGACCATGGGCAGGTGGGTCCAAGGTAGAAACCCCATGGCAGAAGGCCTTGGTGGAGTAAAGCTGCTCACCTTATGGTAGCAGAAGCAGAGCACAGGGGGAGGAGCCCGAGAAGAAGGGGCCAGGGCTTGTGAGCTCCAAGGTCACACCCCCGTGACCCACCATTGCACTCCCAGAAGTGTGCTTTGCTAGTCAGGTCAACAGTGAAGATTAACCACCGCAGTCAGATCCCTTGTTCTTCATTGCGTGGGAAACCTTCTCACGTTACCCCATATCATTTACTGATGTGTTCATCTGCCTTTCTCCTTACGAGAGAAACATTTGCCATCAACTTTCAGGAGGCACACAGGAATTCTTAGGTGTGCACAGGACTTTGTGATAGTTGCTGCCATTACAGTTACTGGACTCCAGGACCCACAGAAGCTCTCTGGAGAAAGAGGATGATGTCGGGGTGTATGCTGTGCCCCTACTCTGGGCTATAGGTCAGCCGAGACACCCGGCATTTCCTCCTCTGTCAGGAATCACCTTATAGGACATCATGAGAGGTGTTCTTGTGGACAGAGAATTATAGAAGTCCCCTTAGCTTCTGTGACACCTTTTGGGCTTCAGTTACCCATGGTCTACTGCAGTCTGAAAATGTTAAATGGAGAATTCCAGAAATAAATAATTTAACTTGCAATTTTAAGTGGTTTCTATTACTGTATATTGTTATACATGCTCTGTTTTATGTTGTTAATCTTTTCTGTTCCTAATTTACAAGTTAAATTACAGCCTAGGTAGGCCACTGACTGTTTCAGACCCTCACTGGGGTCTCCTCGGAATGTGTTCCCTGCGGATATGGGGCTGCTGTCCCTTTCTGTAGCACAGTCATAGACAGGGACTGCAGACTGAATATCCACTCCCAGCGTGGGCTCTGGTTTGATTTACCCTGTATTGTGGTCTGTGCCCTCAAGGGCCAAGTGTCTTGGGAGAGGGGCCCCACCTGGGTCCCCTCTCTCCCCTGGGAATGTTTGAAGCTGGTGTGTGACCTCTGTGCTGTGTTTGAATCCAGGACAGCGCTCCAAATGGAGAGCCGTTGCTCTGGCTTCTGGCCCAGTCTCGTCTTGCAACGTAGGTCCAGAGAAATGAATTCTTGTTTCCCACCGCAGGTTGTCTACCCGGCCGGAAGTGGCTAGCATAGAGCCCCTGGGCCCTGATGAACGCCAGTGCTCCCAGAAAGCTGTGGTGCAGGCCCGGCTCACACAGCCTGCCCGGCTCACCAGCATCATCTTCGCCGAGGACATCAGTAAGGGCTTAGAGTGCTGTGGGTGGTCCCTGGGTGGGTGAACCAGGGAGGGACAGGGAAGTATGCCATTGAGATCAGTGGCCTCCAGAGCTGCTGTAGCCCAAGTGGTGCCCATACTATCCTTCACACCTGCATGTGGCTTCCTGATTTCTAGAGGAGTTTTGATTGACTGGTATCGAGGTGAACCCAGTTGCTCCAATCTAGGATGCCACTCTTTGTCCTTCTCCACATTTACTGTATTATGGTTATAAAACGAAATTGACTCTCAGCATCCATGAGAAATTGATGACAGGTTCCTGCTCCAGTACCAAAATATGTAGAGGCTCAAGTCACTTACATAAAAAGCCACAGTCTATGTACATCATCCTGAATATTTTAAAACATCTCTAGATTACATATAATACCTAATATCATGTAAATGCTGCAGAAAATTATACTGTATGGTTGGAGAATAATGAGGAGGAAAAACATCTTCCAGTGGAATTTTTTTTCTGAATATTGCCAGTCTGTGGTTGGTTGGATCTGAGAGTCTGGAATGTAAGATTACAGAGACCCAGCTATACTTAGAGACAACGTAATGTTTTCTCATGGTTTTCCCCATTACCATCATACGTTTTCTATTTTACTATGGAATTATTATCATTGTCCTTTGGTGCTGAGGATTGAACCAGGGCCTTGCACATGCTAAAGAAGGGGTCTCCCTCTGAGGAGACCCCTGCCACAGGACCGCCCCTGCCACAGGACTGTTTTTAATGCCAAGTCATGTTTTTAGCAGCAGATTGTCTTATAAGCATTCCTTATATTGGACACTTAGAATGTTTTCAGATGTCTGTTTCAAGGTTATGTGCAAAAAGAAATTTTTAACACAGAGGAGTTTTGAGGTCTTTTGGGATTCTTTTGCTAATTTCCTCCCTAGAATAATATTCTTGTTTTAATGGGGCACAATAATGAAATTATTTTTTTGAGACAGGGCCGTACTATGGTACCCACACTGGGCTGCCACTCACGGGCACGAGGGACTCTTTGGATTCAGTCTTTTGAGTAGGCAGGACTACAGGTGCATACCCTCGAGTACGCATATGGATTTTGACGCACGGGGTCATAGTGCTTTTCAGTGAAATATTACCAGTGCACAAGTATTTTCATATGCTGCCTGGAGAATGATCAGAATAATTTGGCATCACGTGCTGCCACCCTACCCTTAAAGAATTCTCTAGGTAATGCCATTTATGTATCTTACTTATGGAGCAAGTGGATGTGTCCATGAATCCCTTCTGTAGTGTAGTTGATAAAAACATCAGCAGAAGTAAACAAGAAAGAAGCAAAGACCAGTGCAATCCCTAGTCTCAGTGGGGACACGGGGCTCCCGAATAGGATTGTTTTCTTTTAGATGCTAAGTCCACATACTCATGTAACTTCCTGATTACATTCTGAGCTAATCTACAAGCAAGTTGTAATTGTCTGTGGTGGGCAGCGGAAATGTCCCAAGCTCTTCCTTCAGCCCTAACGACTCAGGTAGATGTCCCCAAGGTTTGTGTGCTCAGCTGGCACCTGGAGTCTGAGGGTGAATTCAGCTCTCTGAGCCCTGTGGTAGTATCTTTTATCTTTTTTTTTTTTTTTTGATTGTTTTGTTCTGTTTTTTGGCTGTTCTAATCTCTGCCAGAGAGCAAGGCTACCAAAGAGTTCAGGACCCCCAGGTGGCATGATGGCCAGCCACTGTCTGCGGTGCTGACCCCTTTCCATGTCCCTGCAGCCACAGGCCAGGTGCTGCGCTGCGATGCCATTGTTGACCTCATCCACGGCATTCAGATTGTGTCCACTACCCGTGAGCTCTACCTTGAAGATTCCCCTCTGGAGCTGAAGATCCAGGCCCTGGACTCGGAAGGTGAGCACATACCCACCCTGCCGTGACCTCTTTCTCGGTCACTGTGTCATTTCACATCCAACCCTGCTGCCTTAGCCAAGAAGGAAAAACTGGTGCCGGGGTGAAGCTGAAGAGAAAAATTACCTCCAGGGTGAGATCTGTGCTCTTGGAGGCATCAGACCATCTCCATTCCTTGTGCTCTGTATTCCCGAAGCCTGGCCTGAGCACTCAGGGTGTAGTCGACCCTGGGGCAGACTCTATACCGTTGCACAGCAGTGGTCCTTGGTAAAGTTGGCTCAGGAAGCCCATGTTTTGGGCAGTGATGGGGTGTGAGGGTGGCTGGCTGGTGACCAAATTGTGACAATGGGAGCTGTTCTCTTGCTTGGCTTTCAGGCTGGTCTTAGTCTCCTGGCCAAGCTTTTGAGCATGCGTGTGTGTGTGTGTGTGTGCGTGCGTGCGTGCGTGCGTGTGCGCGCGCGCGCGTGCGTGCGTGCGTGTGTGTGTGTGTGTGTGTGTGTGTGTGTGTGTGGGCCAGGGAGACACTTCTGCATTGCTCTCTCTCAGCATACTATCCTCCCCACCTAGCAGCATCAGATGTCACCTTGTCTGGGCTTCAGTTTTTCTAGATAGCTTTCTTCGGTGGTCAGCAGACTGTGTGGGCTGCAACCCTGACTTCTCAGTGAGGGAAGTGAGGAATGTACTAGCTTTTTGTTGCTGTGACAAAAATTTGAAGGAAGAAGGATTGATTTTGGCTCATGGTTTCTGAGGTTTCAGTGCCTGGTTGGCTGGCTCTGTTATCTGTGGGCAAGAGGTGGGGATAACATCACAGTAGAGGCCATAGGTGGTGGGTGTTGCTTACTTCATGGTGGCCAGGAAGTAGGGCACGAGAAGAAGGGTCCTGGTCCCCTTAGAGGACACCCCCCCCCACTCAGCGACATATCTTCTTTCCATTAGACACCATCTCATAAAGCTCTGTCACCTCCCAATAGGACCACAGATTGTTGGGGAAGTCTTTGGGGGGGACTTACCCAAACCCTAACAGGGCACTCATTGGGTGGGGATTCTTGTGGTAGTAAGTAGAAGTCAGGGCAGAGGTGTTTCTCAGAAGATGCTCATCCCAGACTCAGGGTCACCTTCTCTTCAGAACCTTGCCTGACTAATCTGCCTACTGTGTTCTTTTTTCTACTTTCTTGTTTATTTTCCAGAACAAGGTTTCTTGGCCTAGGCTGTATTGGTTGGCACTTTGGGCATAAGCATCCTCTGAGAAGTATCTGCCCAGTGCAGAATAGTATGTCTTGCAGCATCCCTAGGCACTGCCTATGGAGTGCAGATGGATTCTCCAAGTCAGGAAAATCAAGATTGTCCCCATATATGGCCACATTCCCTGGCAGAAAGAGAACAAATGACTGGTATTGAGCCTTTGCCAGACCTTTCCTTCCTTCCTCCATGAATTCATTTGTCAGACGAGCTCCTAGCCCCTCTGTTCATGTTTTCTCATCTGGGGGACTGAGATTGGGAAGCTTGATGTGGTGACCACCAGACATGGGGAGAAATCTGCAGCCAGATAAGCATTGTGTGGGTGCTCAGTAACAAGGGGTGCTTCCCTGAGCACTGTCTATAAAGGGGTACTGTCCAGGTACCAAGGATGCTGTGGGACCCAGAAGGGCCTCGCCTCTGCCACAGGACCGCAGAATGAAGGAAGACAACATGTAAACAAACCATCATTCATACATATGGGTTGAACCCTTCATCTGAAAATCAGGATCTAAAATGGACCAAAATCTAAATTGTGTGTGTGTTTGTATTTGTGTGTATGTTTTCTTAGGGTGGAACCAGGGAAAACTGCACATGCTGAGCCAGGGCTTTACCACTGAGCTATAGTCCCAGTGCCTTTGAAAATTTAGTATGAGATGTAGACTCACTGAGTTGCTCAGGCCAGCCTCAAACTTGTAATCCTCCTTCCTCAGCCTCCCAAGTAGCTGAGATTACAGGCATGTGCTACTACTCCTGGTTTATCCTAAACTTCTTGAAGTACTCAAAAGGTCAGTGCAAAGATCCCCAAATTGAAAAAACTTCAGAATCAGAAACTTACACTTCTGACAGTTTTTGGATAAGGGATGCTCAACCATGGTTGAATGCTGTTCACAATCAGAGTGCCTGGAGGCTGTAGAGTTAGGTGGGGCCAACCTCAAAGGAGATGAGATAGGATATGGAGGGTGGGGGTTAGGTAACATGCAGCTGAAGATGTGCTGGAGGTGAGCCCAGAGCACTGCATGTGGACAGATAGGAGGGCTATGGAGAGGGCAGGATGTAGGACAGGAAGTGTCTTTGGGGTCAGCTGGCCGTTTGCCCTTAGTCTGAAGCAGAGAGGGGCTGAAGAAGGGCACTGTAAAGTGAGGAAGCTGAAGCTCCTTGGCAGGATCTAGAGAAGTCACTGGCTGTTCTTGGGAGCAGAAAGACCAAAGCCAGAGCCCATCCTAGGGGCAGGCATTCTTTAGGGGCACTTTATGTCTCCTGTCGCAGTTCACGTTTCCATGGTGGAAAGATGAAGGCACAGAGTGAATACAGTCATGTACTTATATTCGTGTGTGTGTGTGTGTGTGTGTGTGTGTGTGTGTGCGCGCATTTGCATCCACCCAGAGCAGGCATGTGGTTAATATGTAGCAGAGCCAGCATCTGAGCTCCAAACTGGCCCAGAGTTCACCCTTTTGGCCAGAAGTTATGTTTTGAGAGGATCCGGAGAGTGAGTGTCATCCCACCTTGCTGGCCACGCTCTCTCTGTTGCTTGTGTTCAGCTCTGCCATTGCAGCTCCAGAGCAGACTGGGCAGTGTGTCAGTGAACAGATATGATGCTGTTCTAATAAAGCTTTATTTATAAAACTACACACTGGGCCAGATTTGGCTTTAGGAGCCATAGTTTACCACTTTCTGCTCTTGACCACTCTCCTCCATTTCCAAACCTAAGTCACTTAAAATAGTTGTTCTTGTTGAGTTTTATACACCATGAAACTCAACCCATTAAAGCATACAATTCAGTGGGTTTTTTGGTGCATTCACAATGTTATGCAATCATCCCTGTCTCATTTTAGAATTTAGCACCACAAAGAGAAACCCAAATAACAGTCAGTCTCATTCTTGTTCCTCTCCAGCCTCTGCAGCTACCATTCTACTTCTGGCCTCTCCATTTCCCTATTCTGGACCTTTCATATAAGAATCATACAATACAAACAGCCCTACTTTCATGCAGTCTTTTGTGACTGGCTTTATTCTCTGTGCATGTTGTCACCTATGAGCACTACATTCCTTTCTGTTGGAAAACAACATTCCACTGCATGGATGGACTGTGGGTTGTGTTTCCATTTGTAGTTAGTGGACCTCTGGTGGTTTTCATTTTTGGACTGTGATGAGCAGTGCTGGTGTGAGCTTGCCAAGCACTGAGCTGGACCCACTACCAATGCAATCTCTCACCCCTCAGGAAAGGTGCCATAGTGCCCTTTGTACAGGAAAGGATTCCAAGGTCTAGACAGTTTGTTTACTTTGGGTCACAACCCACGATTGGCTGAGCAGGGACTGGGACTAGGGATGTCAAGGTCTGTCACCTCTCAGTGCGGTGCCTGCTTCCTGCAGATGGGCTGTTCCTGGGCATTGGTGCCCTGAGCCACAGTGCCATTGCAGGCCTGGACCTCCCTCCTATGCTTTGAGTCTAATGTCTTCTCTTGAAGCTCATATTGAAACTCTTCCCTGATGCAAGAGTACGAGGGGAAGTGGCACCTTTCAGACGTGATAGGACTAGGTGCGGCTCAGTGGTGACACCCTTGCCCCATGTGCACAGAGCCCCAGAAGAACAAGGGAAAACCAAAGGGAATGAGGTGTTTGTGGGTGGTGCATGCAGCTCTTACTGGGCTGGGTGACTTACCTGAGGAGAAGGCCTTTGCTTGTGTTTTGTCTCTTCTGCAAGTACTCAGGCACAGGTGCTGTTGGCACATGCTGTCTGCACATTCTGCGTACCTTCTCCCTTTGCTCTGCTGCAGTGTTAAAACATAAGTTGACATTAAGCCTAAGGCAGATGTGGCAGTCCCATATTGGGCTTCCATCCTCCAGAACTGCAACCTTAATAAAACCATTTCCTTTATAATTTACCCAGCATGACAGTCAGCCTTCCATTACCATGACAGAACTATGAGAGTGAACTTAAGAAGGAAAGGTTAATTTGGGTTAACAGTTTCAGAGGTGTCCATCCATAGCTGTTTGGGCTCAGCGTCCTTGTGGCAGTACATGGCGGAGGAGGCCAGTTCACCTCATGGAACCTGGATAGCAGAGAAAGGAGGATGAAGGCCTGCAGTCCCAGTGTCCTCCTCAAAGGATGCCCCTGAGGACTCTATTTCCTTCTGTCAGACCCACTTGCTGAACCACTCCCCTCCACTCTCACCACAGGCTGCAGCTGAGTCTTCAGCACATGGCCTTTGGGGCATTTGGGACCCAAACTATAAGACATGGGCTTAGGCGTTCTGTTAACAGCAGCAACTGAAACCCACCCTCTCTACCACCCCTTCCCACCCATAGGCTAAGGCTGTTTGCAGAATGACTGTCTTGAGTCCATGTTTTCAGAATTATTTTCCAGTCCTCGTGTGCCTTGTGCACTGGTAGAACTGGACCAGTGCAGGGTCACTGAATTTAGTGCTTTGTGGGGAGAATTGGGGTTGGTTCATTTTTCTGGATGCTTTTTTGTTTGACACTGAACTTTGGGTCCAGGCAGGCATCCAATAAATGTTTGTACAGTTGGCTTGCTTAATGTTCTTTGTGATTCTCCTGGGACTGGGGCAGAAGTGTGTCCTTGGAGCCTTGGGCCCTGCGTGCCCTGGTTAATACTACACTCAGCCGTCAGACTTCAGGATCAAGGGTGCTGTCTATTTCATGCAGCAGGTGCTTGTGGCTGCTTTTTGAATGGAGAAACTTTTGGGTAGAGTTTGCTTTTCTTTTTAAAATTTTATTTAATGAGAAAAAAACAGAGGGTACAAGTT